GCTATTGCAATGGAATTAAACTTTGATTTTGCCCCCATAATATGAGTAGACAACCAATTCTACTTTTGCAGTAAGCAACTTCATAAAGAGTCGAGCCAGTGATCCTTCCGTACCTGTAAAAATAGAAAATGTATACTTTTTACATATAAGTTTATGCTATTTAAGTATGAAATTTTTGTTTCTATAAATAAAATGAGTATATAAATAAAACTATATTAGATTCTATATTACCTTAACTCAAACCATAATAGGAAAAAACCATGTTAATTTTATCAGACGTCATTTTGTTTATCTTTCAAGAAATTATTGTGGAGAGTCCAAGCTTACTACTAAGCCTTACTAGTACTACGAACAAAGTTTATGTATGTTTATATTTTGTTGGTATTTTCAAAAATAGCGAATAATATTTTTTTGACAATATTTTGTTTTGACAACATTTAAAATATCTACCTAAAATATACAGTTATTGTACTATGTTAGCCTATTTATGCGTTTATATTTTATATTGACTAGAAAATTAGTCTCACTTTGTAAACGATTATAATATTTTCGATTAATTATAAATTTATGTTCGATAAAACTTTTGTAAAATAGCGACATTATATCTTGGAAATATGGCAACATTGAAATGTAAATTATGATCCGATATTTAATTTATTTTGCATAAAGACTTAACTAAAGCTGTAATTAATTGTCACAAATATTATAAGAATTATTAAACTAATTTATTATGTATTTTAAAAACAGTACTCAAACACAATAAGAATTAAGACGTGTGAATGATGCGTTCCGGGTACTGCCAACAGCGGTACAAGGAACAGATGCTCTCTCTTGGCACGGTCGTCGGAAAGGAAAGACATGTAAATTAGCGAAATATTGTAATAAAATTATAAGAACTTAAGGACTACTTAATTCAATGTTTAAAACCTATACTTCTGAAGTTATCCTATAATTAGTATATAACATACATTTAATTCTCTAAATAAAAAAGTATGCGGCGTGTCGTTACCATCGCGACAATAAATGAACACACGTCTAACGCTACTTGCCAATAATCATAAAAAAATATGGCAAATGTAAATAACTTTAAATCTGGCGTAATTCAATTAAAATAAATTTTAAACGATAGAGAAAAATTTCTAATGAATTAATCAACAAGCAGAATTCGGCGGTCGCTTATAGTTTTCGAGAAAAAAATATTTAAAACTTGTTATTTTTACTAATAAATCCACCATTTTATTTATTTGACTTCAAAAACTCAATACACAGTTCTGCCAACATGATAAATATAGGAAGCGGGCGACATCATACTCGTATCGATAGTCCGATTTTTTTTTTTAATTTAATGAGTCACAGAACCGACACAGAGCGAATCCGACTCGGATAGATTAGGTTATTTTTTTTATGACCAACAAGAAATACGAGCAGAATTGACATATTGACAACAAAAAATGGCGGATTTCTATAGTAAAAATCACACTATTTCATTATTTATTTATTCGAAAACTATAAGCGACCGCCGAATTCTGCTTGTTGATAAATTCATTAGTAATTTTCTCTATCGTTTAAAATTTATTTTAATTGAATTACGCCAGAGTTAAAGTTATTTACATTTACCAAAACAATATTTACCTTTCCAATGTTAACCATTTTACGCTTTCAAAATTGACGTCACTAGACGCTGATTGGCGTTTTAAAAAACGTTCCGTTTCACGTTACTTTAATCCGTAATATTAACTGTCGTATTAAAAATCTAAAAAAAAAAAACAAAATAAAAATGTTGCACTAGCCAATTTTTTATGACTTTTTAACATTTTAGTCACAAAGTATTGAAAAATATTAAATCTGCATCTTCCCTATTATTCAATTTCCTGTTGCGCTAGTTTTGCTAGGATGTCAGTTGTCAGTTTTGCTATTATTATATATATTATATATTTGTCAGCTTCGCTAATCGGATGGTTTACCTATTCGTCAGTTACGCTAAGTAGACAATTTTCCCCTCCAGCCGGGTCCGAAGAAGGCCTTTTTTATTTATTTATTTTTCGTTGACGTGGGGGAAAAGCTTAAGCATACCAGCCCTGGCGGGGACAAGAGCGGATTATGTCGGACTCGCACCGACTAAAATCCCCACGATGTTTCACCTAGGCCACGTGAGCGCTTTCGCACACTTCCGCGACCCTGCCAGCGCTGGCCGCCTCAGCAGCCCCTCCCTGCGATCAACTCCCCTCATTCCGGTAAGGCGAGCTGGAACATTCAGCGCACCTTCCTACTCGGCCCCTTTTTTACGGCCAACGAACTCCCCCGAGTTCGCTGACCAGATGCCATGGGAGCCAGGAGAGCTAGTGCCAATAAGCGGCAAGCCTCCGAACCCCCACCGGCGGACCTGGTCTGTGGCTCCGCCACTCACCAAGTTTCTGCCGCGGAGGGTAGGGAGAACGGCGCACCGCATACCGACATTTCTCATCCCCCGCGGCCCCACCACCACTGAACAACGGTGCAGCCCCGCCGAGTCGCGGAGAATAGGGTGCGCTGCAAACGGCAATGAACCGTCTTAACGCTAAAATGTAGTCTCACGCATAGTAGCTAATAACAATTGGGGGCCAGCATGTAATAATTCAATGTGGTAATGACGAAATAAAAGCAAACTAAAATAATGTTTACTACAAAGTAAAATAGGATGCTTTTTCTTATAAGCAAAATCATGTACATTACATAGATACTCTAATTATATTATTTTTATCTGAAAAATATTAAATCTAGATATTGCAGATGAAGTTTTCAAAGGTAATTTATTTATTAAACTATGATATTCATTAGGAAAAGAGCCTTTTTGAACAAAGCGCACTAACATCTGCAGTGACGCGTCTTATCATTAAGCGAGCTCGCTTACTGATAACAGCCCAATCAATGGGTTCGCTTGTAGTGTGCGTGCATTGTAAACAAACCGTAACACAAGCGCCGGCTCGTCCTAGACGGTTATAAGATGAAAACCGTTCGAAGTTAATTATTTTAATGTTACATACCATACTTGTGCTTTGATTTTTAAACGGGTAAGGTATATCATAACTAGCAGTCATGCTATGAAATATTATAAATGTGAAATGACAGGTTATGTGGTGTGCAAGGTTTTTTTTTCATTCATTTAGCAAGATGACATAAAGGTACTTTGATACTTCTAAACTAACACGACAAACGTGCTCTATTCTTAAGACCTCATATACAACGTAAAACAATGAAAATAACTGTGACATATACTGGCAAATATGAAATACAATAATACAACAATACAAATTTTTTCGTCAAGTGAAACTATAACGCAAAGAAACAACAAACAAGTCACCATTAAACCCCCTTGTTAACGCCTTAAGTGATAAAAGCAAACGCTGACATTAGTTTTCTGTATTTACGTAATCGGATAATTACTTTTTTAGGAATTTAATAGGTTTTACGTTAGTATATTAAGACATAACACGACGTAACAGTAAAACACAATCTAAACTAATTAACGAACAAAAAAAAGAAAACAAGGAAAGTAACGGGTTAGCAACATAACGAAATATCAAAACCGACAATCTAAACAAACTGACGCACAAGGAAATTTGCGAACAACGAAAATAATAGGGAATATGACAACTTAGTGAAACTGGCATATATGGAAATTGGCGAATTCAAAAACTCTAATGAGTAAACTGTTGTATTAGTGAAATTGACGAGTAAGAAAACTGAGCAATGGTACGCTTACCGCTAATTTTGTCTAAAGTTGTTTTTGGGCAGCGCATTTCTATTAATCTTACTAGCTTGTTTAAAAAAAGTAACAAATGAGCGGGTGATTCATCTAATAGTTAGTTATTGGTCATAGATATCTACAACACCAATGAGGTTACAGTTGAACAGGATCCAGGTAACACCTGGAACCTGTTCAACTGCGTGCTAAATGCAATATTCTTACATCCTTACTAATATTATAAACGCGAAAGTATGGATGGATGTTTGTTACTCTTTCACGCAAAAACTACAGAATAGATTTTAATGAAACTTAACGATAATATAGCTTATACATCAGAATAACACATAGGCTATAATTTATAGAGATATTGTGTGATATGTCCAAAATATAGGTAATGATAAGTGTCAACTAAGTACGAAAAATTCAGCCATCATATTCTGGTGTATAATAAAAAACACATTGTTAATCCCCTTTGGCCGCGCGGGCAAAGCCGCGGGTAACAGCTAGTTTTAATAATTTTACGATCATGCCCGCACATACGACAGCTGAAGCAACCACAGCCGAGTTTTTTTCTTTTTTGTGCACTTAAATAAAAAGCTTATTGTATAAACATTTTATTGAATTGTCAAAATAAATATATTGCATAGTGACGTTAGAGTCAACGAAGAAGTTCATCAAAAAATAGCCGTCCGAGCATTCTATAATATCGGAGACTCTCTTAGATCGTTTTAAAGAGATTAATAAAATATCCACTGTTGCGTCCCAATATATTTATTGTAGTATTTTGTATGTTAGACATAATATAAATTGTTACCTAAAGAATAATGACAGACAAATGAAATACTAGAAATAAGGACAAAGTAACTACGCCATTGTTTCGTCTACAAAAAGTAAATAGGTCGTTCATTGGGAAAGTGTGCGCATGTATAAAAAAATCCCACAGTCGATATTAAGTCTGCCACTTGTTGGCTACGGCATATTATACAATTGCGGAATATCTTGACGACGCCAATGTGAGGAGTTAATACTGTTGATACTCGCGTAGGCTAAAATAAGACATATGTCCTATTATATTGTAAACTAATCGTTTTAAAAAAAGAGCAACAGTTGAGGTTTCTTGCCGGTTTCTTCTCAACAGAAACTGCTTTACGAACCGGTGGCAACTTACTTACGAACGTATTAATTTTTATATAAAATTTTGACGTTTCAAAAGAATTTGAAGACGTTATGAGTGAGGGGAATTCACAAGAAATGTGTCACCACACTACAGGTCATGTTCGGCGGTAGCGTGTACGACGACATCAAGATAAGCAAGATGGACGAGTTTGACATAAACATAGTCATACGGCTGCCCATCAGCTACGAGGAGGGGGAGGACGGGATAATAATTGAGAACGACCAGCCGGGATTCGTGCGCCTGAGGATCGTGAACGGCTTCGACCACCTCGACAAGCAGCAGGAGTGGGAGAAGTGCCACAAGGTGACCAGGGACTGGCGCGACGGCTCCAAGTACTTCCTGCAGAGCAGGTTCCGCCACTGGATGCACCGAATCGTCCAGAAGGCGCTCAACGAAATGAATGGGCGGGTGACGGTGAACGGGGTGGACTACATCCTCAATTACAGGGAGTCGGGGCCCGCGTACACCCTGAACGTAAGCAGCGGGGCGGCCGACGAGGATTTCAAGCTGGACGTGGATATAGTCCCCGTCATCAGGTTCATGCATCCCCGCTGGCCGAAGAGCTATAGGCGAGTACTAATTTCTCTCGAACCCAATATATTATAGCTTTGTTATACTCACACCTGGGCTAAGGGTATTAGGACATAGTCCACTACGGGACCCCACAGCAGATTTGCCGATCTTTGAAATATGTTTCTCTTTGTTATTATTTCGAAAACACGCACGTTTCCCCAATACGTTTTCCTTCAACGCTGAGCACGTGATAAGTCAGCACTTAAAATTAACAATTTTTGAACACGCGATAATTGACAAAATTTTAACAATAGTCCGCGCGGTCAAAACTTATTTTAAACTTTTAGATAATTTTTAATATCTTCAATCTCACTTTTGGGACCATTTAAACTTGCGCTATACGCGTACAAATGTAACTGTTTTGAAAGTTTGTAGAGGAATTCCCTTTTAGACTTTCTATCTTCATCACGTGGTCAACGGTGAAGGAAAACATCGTGAGGAAACCTGCATATTGTCGAAATCATCTAACTTGGGGTAGTCTGCATTTTTCCAAACGTTGTAGCCAGTCAACAACACGCAAACTGTAGTCGTCACTCGTTCGTGCGAAATGTCTCACTCATAAAAAAAATAATTTCGAATATCAATGGCAACATCTCGCGTTCGAATTATAGTTTTCAATGATATTTGATATTGTTTGTGTGCTGTAAAAGACATAACAATGGATACGACAAGCATTGCTTAAATGCGAAAATTATTACATATCTGATGTTAAACTCGTGGAATAAATAAAAAAACACAAGCTTCTACGTCACGTGGCTCGTACTACTAAAAATTCTGCCAATTTTCCGACTTACTCAAAACTTAGCCCTTGGTTTAAAACTCGCCGGTGATTAGTCACATCTTTCGTCGCTTTTCGAACAAACGTCCAAAACACAACAAAAGATGAAATATTTCACTTGACAACCAAAAACATATATTTTTGCGATTCATTTCCTTTCATTAATAGGAGAAATATTAGTGATAAAATATAATAATACCTAAATTATGGTAGCAGGACAGTATTCTACTTTAGTTCTTAATATTGGTCTATCTTTTGTTAGGACTATTGAAGACAGCCAAGCGAAGGAATGGTATGCAGTGCCGAAACCAATTAAGGGGATCGCAGACGAGAAGGCGAAGAGTAGATGCTGGCGGCTCTCTTTCCAAGTATACGAACGCGAGAAGCTCAAGAAAAATCACAATTTGAAGATGACATTAAGGCTGGTGAGTGTTTGGGCCAAGGCCAAGACAACGATAGTAAAAACTACACAAACTAACTACAGGAAACGCTGTTTAGTGTGCGAGGAAAATATGTTCAGGTGGGGGTTCTCGGAGGAGAGCCCAGACCTAGATTTTGTTTGTGGAGAGGTGCAGTCCATGGCTCATGTGGTGTCCTGCCTTTTCCACCTGTTCGCAGTAAGATTTGATGGATGCCACGAATTGTGCAGTCGAAGTGGCCAAGTCTGAGCCAAAAAGATCAAATTTGTCAACGACACGCAAAGAAGAAGCATGCATCACCATACAAAGAACGTTCAAAAATGAAAATGAACATTTGTAGCGATAGGCGTTGCCTTTGGTCTTAAAATTTTTAGTATAAAGCCGATCTTCAAAAATAGATTCGTCTGATAGCTTTACTCCCCGGGTGAAAATGTGGAAGTTGAAACAGTTACGCCATGAGGCCGTGGTATTTTCCCGAGGGCCCCAATCGGTGACCTTACTATTATAAATTAAATAAATAAATATTTAGGACACGTTTTTACACAACGTTCTCTAGTCCCAATCTATGCAAGGCTTGTACTAGGGGGTACTAGATAATTGATAAACATACTTGTCTTTTGTAAATAAATCCATTTATATTTAAACACCCAGACACTGGAAAAACACCATGTTCATCAAACAATATTTTTACAGTAGTAGGAATCGAACCTACACCCTCTGGTGCACGAGGCGGGTGCACTGCCCACTACGCCAATCGGGTCGTCTCCGTACTCCGTATTCCATAATTCAAACTAGAACTTAGTTAATGAGACTTCTTCAGTGAAGTAACAACGGTTGTCTGTATAGCATCATATTGATCTCCGATTTGCAGATAAAGAAACTACGCGACGCATTGAACATGAAATGCATCGTCAGCTACTACATAAAGACCTTATTCCTGTGGAAGGTTGAGAACGTTAAGAGCAAGGACTTCTGGCAGAACAATCTCACAGTTCTCTTCCACGCGATGCTGGAAGACCTGTACGAGGCGGTCAAAAACAAGAGCATCCCTAACTTCTGGAACAAGAAGAACAACCTGATCGAGAGCATGAAGCCCGGCACTCAGACGGTGTACGCGGCGCGTCTCAAGGTGGTCCTTGATAGCATCCAGACGAACAATATCGAGAAAATCGTACAAGCACTCCTCACCAAGGAGGAGATAAAACAGTTCAAATGCTCGGAATTTTACCTGAAACGGCTCCCGCTTACGAACTTCCCATCTCTGTCACACGAGATACAAAGGAGTGTGTTAGTTGCCTCGTTAAGCAGTGAGGAATACGTAGGCAGGATGATAAGTAACTAGCCATTGCTATTTAAGAAGTTAAAATTAAAAAAATATATATGTCATTTTTAAATACGTATCTCTGGCCACCTGTGTTCTAAATTTGAATTTGGTGGCATGAAAATTTTATTGTTTTTTTGTCATTTGAAAATATATTTCGTCAACTGTTTTCAAAATGGATAAAATTGAACAAAGAGCGGTGATAATGTTTCTTCATATGAAGGGGATGATGGGGAAAGATATCTATGACGAGTTAAAGAATATTTTGGGTGAATGTACTCTTTCTTATGCCACAGTAAAAAACTAGGTGGCTGAGTTTAAACGCGGTCGTACATGTGTCCAAGATGAAGCCCACCCCGGGCGTCCAAAAAGCGTCACGACTCCGGAAATGGTCGTGAAAGTACATGATATGGTTTTAGCAGATCGACGATTGAAGTTATCTGAAATAGCTGACACTACAGGTATCTCAAAAGAACGGGTACATCATATCTTAAGTGAGGAATTAAATATGAAAAAGTTATCGGCCGTTGAGTGCCGCGATTGCTTACGCACGATCAAAAAAGGATTCGGGTGCAAAACTCAAAAGAATATCTGGACCGTTTTCAGAGTAATAGTCCGATTTTTTACGTCGATTTTTAACAACAGATGAAACATGGGTTCATCATTACACGCCAGAATCAAAAATTCAATCAAAACAGTAGACTCAATCGGGATGTCCGGCTCCAAAAAAAGCCATGGCTGTAAAATCGGCTGGAAAAGTGATGGCTTCCGTCTTTTGGGATGCAGATGGGATCTTGATGATAGATTACCTTGCTAAATGTCAAACAATTAATGGTGATTACTACGCCAATCTTCTTGATAAGCTTCATCAATGTATTCAGCAAAAAGACCAGGTTTGGCGAAAAAAAAAATCATCTTCCACCAAGACAACGCTAGGGTTCACACATGTGTTAAACCTATGGCAAAAATCAACGAATTGAAGTATGATTTTCTGCCCCACCCACCTTATTCGCCTGATCTAGCGCCATCAGACTTCCACTTATTAACTAAGCTCAAAACTTTTTTGGGCGGACAGAAATTTGCCACAAATGATGAAGTCATAGCCGCTGTAGAGGAGTATTTTACAGGCCCCGAAAGAAATCATTTTCTGGAAGGCATTACTGCTTTAGAACAAAGATGGAATAAGTGTGTAGAGGTTCAGGGAGACTATGTAGAAAAATAAAATAAATTTTATCACGGAATGTTAAGCTTTTTCTTATTAGGCTAGTTACTTATCATCCCGCCCTCGTACCAGTTGAACTCCAAAGACAATTCACAAATGGGCAGCCAATAGACATCTCTGCTGATATCCATGTTGCTTAAGATAAAAAATTGTGCCTCGAAGAGAAGGTATTCAAATTAGAAGAATTGCCATTTCCATGTCAAAGAATAGCGAATGATATATTTACTATTTCTGTATGTTATTAAAATTTTGTCAATTTGAACTTTAATACCATACCATAAAGTTTAAGTGTTAGTGGAGGGGTTCCGGGAAGACAAAACAAGTGAAGTGAGTGACTGTGGTAAAATGTCACTTGAAATGTAAACGTCTCTTTGCTGTGCATCACTACATAGTATAAAACAAAGTCGTCCCGCTGTCTGTCTGTCCCTATATATTGTTTAGATCTTTAAAACTACACAACGGATATTAAAATATGTAGAAAATTGGCGCCAAGCATTGCTTCAAATGCTAAGAAAACAATGTTGAAGAATGCGTTAAGATTTTCGTCGGTGTGGCAATCAGCGGCTAGAGCGTCAGGCCGCGAATGCCGAAGACGTGGGTTCGATTCCCACAACGGCGACAATCTTTTCGCACTTTTTCTACATGTTAAAAATTATTTACAATTTAACAGGTATACGAATAAAATCGAATTATTTTCTTATTGTATTATTATTGTAACGGTCCTGGAATCAATCGAATTAGATGTTTATTAGTGTTGCCATTCAATAAAATTATAAAATCGAGGGAACTGTAATAAAGTACAGGCATTACCCATGTGTGACGAATTACATTCTTTGGGACGATGTGAAAAGAAAGAGAAGTCCATTTTTTAACACAATTTAATAATTTTTTCCTCACCACTATATTGATTTGTGTCTTTATCATAGAAAAAAGATAAATATTTTACAGCCGAGTGAATATGAACGCACCAACGCGGTGCTACGTGAACAATAAAATATGTTACTAACTAGTTGAAACCTCATTTGCACTCTATTCCTTCGCTACAGACAAATCCAACAATCAAACAAAGCTACCATTACCAAGTTGTAACACTAGAACAGTTAAGATTTCGAGGTATTTAATAAGCGATTATGTAAGCGATTGGATCATTAAAATCAAAATTGCAATCATTTAATTTGAAGATATTTTCCATAATCGATAAATAAAAACGAAACTGTATCAAGTTATAATTATCTACATGATAACAATTGATTTGATTAGCTATGTTAGTCTTGTTAATCCAGCTACCCAAATATTTTTCATAGACAAATAAATGAATAATTTCTGTTATAATTTAAATAAATTTTAATCACAGCTCTAAAAATAATAAGGTATATTTTCTCGTTTACAATGAACTATAAAAATCATAAAATAAAAATCTCGTGGTATTTCAATATTAAAAAAAATTATACTCACAAATAAAAAATCCGGTATATTTTTCCAAAGTGCAATTCTTCACTATGTAGAGATATGATATTTAACTTTACATTATGAATAGAGCATATTACTAGGAAATCAAATCGAATCAAAAGGTCTTATAACAACGGCATCAGTATAAACACAAGATATTATTACATGTTTTGCTATTTTATTTACAGCAAACGCAGAGCAACGCTAGTCCCACACTATATATTCTTTAAACTTATATTTTAGCTAACAATATGAGATAAGTATATAATAGTTATGTAATGCTAATGCTATCAGAAAATCTAATCATTATAACATATTACTCGCACAATCCTCGATATAGCCACTATAAGACAAATTTTCATTTAAAAGAAAAACGAAAAAAAAATGTACAACAATTTCTTACCTTTGAATTTGCGTAATTTTTTTTACAGATAAATCATAATTTATCCATTAGCTACTATATTCTGGATATTGTACATTTTTCCATGTGGCAATATAACGTTTTCAAAAATCACGACGTTAGATCAATCTGTATATTGGCACCATTCAACATTAATAACGCTTGCAATTATTTATTTCTAAAACGCCACATTGCCACATAATAGAGAGTGCACCGACTCAAGCTAAGATTTAATAATGTCCTATAATAATAAGAACGCATTTCCATGCCGAATCACAATTGACTTGATAGGTTCTAGTGATACATTGAAAAAAAAAGTATGAGATCTACCCTTGGAAAATAATTACTGTTTTGCATTGTATGTTTGTCGGATTATAAATTCTTATTTGAAATATTTTGTGTTTTTATTTCAAATAAGTTATTTATTTTTATTATAATTTCATCTTTTTAGATGAAAATTTAGATTAAAAAAACGCCCGGAATTAGCCATTTGATTCAACTAGAGTTAATTTTAACAGAGGTTTAATCTCAATTTTGACCAGTTAATATAATAAAAGGTGACAACGGGTGTTCAATTGTAACCAGTCAGGAAACGATTCGTGCATGCGCCAGCGGTCGACCGATGTGACGGCCGACAACACCGCCTCGACGCTAACGGCCGTTATAACGCATGATAATAGCCGTTATAACGCAACGCGATAGCCGGTGCAACACCGAATACCGTCGGGCGAAATTCATAATTGAATTCGCGGATTTTCCGACGAAACTATCGACGGTCGAACGCTCTCCAAGTTCAATCGCATAACGATTATCCGAATTGTAAGCCGGTGAAATCTCCTATAGCGACATCGCTGAAAATTTTTATTGATTTTTTTTATTTATATATTTCTTTTATTAATTAACCTACAATTTACAAAACGGCGTGACAACTTTTGAATCGATCGCAAAGATCGTTGCATCGAGAGCAAATAGCGGAAAATTTAAATGCCCCTTCGGATATCCGTTCAAACCATTGGGCAGTAGCAAAGGAAGTATTGGAGCCGCATACGAGGCGTATCGCCCTCTCGTTCTCGCCGCACTCAAAATCGCTTTTCGTCTCGCTCGTATACACGCTCCGATTCTGTCCCGTGGCGACTCATATACAACACAGCTAGAGAGTGTAATGTAACGAGTACATTGACGGTTTCCTTTGGGCGGGTGAAGCACTGTCACGTACAAAGTCGGCATTGTACAAGTCATTGTGGCGCGCGCGAAGTACAGTCGCGTAAAAAGGCACAGTTCGTCGGAGCCGCGACTGGTACAGCTAGGCGATTGAGCGATGGGACGTGCACATTGACGGTCTCCTTCGGGCGGGTGCGGGTAAGTTCGGTGTACAACGACGGCTTTGGCGTTGCGCGGCGAGCGCGTCCGCGTACGGGGGCGGCGTTGTACGCGTCGGTCGGCGATCCGTGCGGGCGTTGGTAGCGGCGGGCGCGACTAGCGCGCGCTGCCAGACTTGCTGTGCGCGATGAGCCACTGCAGCGTTATGTCTATGTTGTCCTTCTCCTTGCAGGAGATCGAGTAGCAGCAGATCTCGCGGTCCTGGATCGCCGACAGGTTCCTGAAGGCGGTAGAAGTTCTTTAGATTTTAGATTTTCGTTATTATTTGAGCGGTGCTAGCCAAGTGTCACCACGTCACCTACGTTTTTAGGGTTCCGTACCCAAAGGGTGAAACGGACTGACCTATTACTAAAACTCCGCTGTCTGTCAGTCTGCCCGTCTGTCATCAGGCTGTATCTCACGAACCGTGATATAGACAATTGAAATCATCACAGATGATGATTTTATGTTGCCATTATAAAAAAAATTATACCACTAAAAGAATTTAAAAAATATAAGTGGGGCTCCCACACAGCTGCCGTTTTTATAGATCGTACGGCACCCTTCTTACGCGAGTCCGAGCCGCACTTGGCCGGTTTGTTGTATGTGGGACGGTGGCAAGCGAGCTGAGCCCGCGATCCACCTGATGAGTGATAACCGCCGCCCGTGGACATTTGCAACAGCCGTAGTTTCGCGGATGCGACGCCACCTATTAATAAGGGCCCCTCGGGCTACCTCGGTCACAAAACGTAACGCAGAAATGTTAACGTCCACTTCGCGGCGGTCTTCCGTGAGCTGTGGACCTGCCCATCCGTGCAACAGCCGAAGCACTCGTGCAACAGCCGAGGCCGTCGCGTGGCCCTACCACGCCAGCTGGGCGTTACGCACATTCGCTCGATGAGGCCGTGCTCGTCGAGCGCGTGCGGCAGGTCCCGCTTGTTCCCCAGCACCAGCACCGGGATCCCGGTCAGCTGCTGCTTCTCCAGCAGGCTGTGCAGCTCGTTGCGCGACGCCTCGATCTTGTCCGGGTCCGCCGCGTCCACCATGTAGCTGCAACAGACGGCTCCGTGACGTAAAACGCGGGTACGATGCCCGACTACTTGCGTAACCAACGGACGATTGCTTCGGACGTGTTTGTGCGGCCGCGTGAAATTTGCGTGTGTGAAACTTTTACAGCAATAATATGTAATAACATATTTTTTTTTATTTTGAAAAGAAACATTGCTTGCTGCGATATATGTTGCATGATGCTATTACATTTAAGATCACTTAGCTTAGTTTAAATCTCATAAAGAAAAGATTTGCGCCAATAAATTCAAGACTACATTCGATATTATAGGAGAATATATTAACAGCACAAGTGGCAACAGCAGAAAAATGACAACTACCCTCCGCGCTTACTAAAACTGTGTTGCGGCAGAGCAGTACAGTATCACCGTCCCGTATTGTCCAACTTAAGTAATCAAGTAAAATGAACACCAGTTTGGTACTAACCTAAATTCGCTTGAAACTGTTTCGTAGCTAACGCCCCCTACAGTAAGATAAGGGGGGGAGATGAGGGGATAACTATTAGACTAGGTGGGATAAGAAGTTGCTAAGAGACTGGCTCCGTCGCCGGGGTTTGTGAATTCGATTCCCACGCGGGACAAGTGTATGTGCGACCCACAGATAATATAATTGTTCCGGATCTGGGTGTTTGTTCTCAAGGAGTGCTAGTCATAAAAAAACCTAGACAAAGTTGTGCCGACCCATAAATGTGGATTTGTTGTGGGGTGGGCAGATAAGGATTAAACGAACTTAAGGCAGTTGCTGCATAGCAGACAAAAGTTATTTATCTTTTTACGATGTCGTTCAAGGCCACATGGAAGGCAGAAGATGTCTAGGTCGAGCCCACACGCGCTGGATCGACCTCATCACCAGCACTACGAAAGCCACCGCAGTACAATGTGACAGCCGCCTCCAATGGAGGAACATCGCTAGACGTGCGGCTGCCTTGCAAGCGAGCAGAGATGACGAGACGCAACCCTCGATATATAATACTAGCTGCCGCCCGCGACTACGTCGCCGTAGAATAGGCTGAAGGAGTAAGATTCAGACAGAAAGACATATAAACACAAAATATGCATATAACTTATAGCCTATGTCTTATTCTGATGTAAAATCTATATTATTGGAAAGTTTCATTAAAATCCATTCAGAAGTATTTGCGTAAAAGAGTAACAAACATCCATCCATACATACAAACTTTCGCGTTTATAATAATATTAATGTATATAAGTAAGGAAAAATGACTATTTGCTATGTAATACTGACATTTAATAATTTGACATAGGTATGTAATATCCGTATAATTTTTAATGTTTTAATGGCATAATTTACTATGATTAAATGTTTTTATGTGAATAATTGATTAGGTTTTAAATATTTTAATGTAAATAATTTTATATCGACAGCCACGACCACTCTGCCAAGAGGGTCCGACTAAGAAGATAATGTTGTAGATAACATTAAATGGCAACTTTTTTTTATTAATTTTATAAGAATTAAATATTAATCGTCTAAAGGAAAAGCCAATTATGATAAATAACAATACGCGAATAAGGGCCTCACTCAAAGACTTAAATAAAATATTGGCGCTTAAATAGTTATAAATTTGAGTATTTATTCCAAAGTGCTAAAGAATCGAAGAGAAAGACGGTTCAGAAGTGAAATAAGTGCGAGGGATATTTCAACTTAGTCCCTTGGGCTATTTCAATTTTCATTTGGGCCCGTGGCGATATTTATTCGAACGCGTGAGATAGAGAGCAATATCTTACCCGCTCGCTCCGACGCAGTCCCAATGCTGCAACGCGCATATTTCAAGGCCTTTTTTGAGATGAAACATAAATAAAGTTCACATAACAATGTGAACTCTTCAATGGAATCGTTAAATTGACGATTACTAAGAAATATAAAAAAAAAATTACCCTTTTCATTTTAAATTTTTTGCGTGAAAATATAATTTTTGGTCTAGGACAAATACAACTATTCCTCTTCCATCACACGAAAGTTAACATCTTAAGAACGTTTAACTTTTTTAAACTAACATTACGTAATATTTCGGGTAATATAGATCTTAAGTCTTGAATGATACCTACTTAATTTTTTCTCACAAATCAATAATCAGGTTAAATCAGTAAATACCTCTGAAAGCTCGAAATATCAAAATGTTTAAAATGTCTATAGTAATTTTATATAAGCTTACACAATGGCGTTGACTCCACGGCAATACCTTTCCCACATCGAGCGGAACCTTGGCTGGCCACCGATATCCCACACCTGGAGAAGAAATAATGAAACGAATGAGGCGAAATAAAGAACTTCATTGTATCTACTTAGAGTGGCTCAAAAATTAGTGGAGGTTGACATTCACGTGCTCGTCCCATGAGCAACGGGAAGCTGCTACACAATTTTTTCCTAGTAGTCAGTTTTTAACTTATTACATATATCAAATGTATAAAGGTTTAAATTTTATATATTAAGTTTTTACAGTGCTTGTTTCTACGATTGAGATGAAACATTAAAAGTTATAGAAAAAATGGACCAAAAGTTTTACGCCGCTGCGAAAATCGAACCCGCAACTCCCAGTCCCTCCTGCTAAAAACCTTAGAGGAACACAATAAGTCCTTCCAGGGAGAAGATTAGTATGGAATAGGTTTGGGCGAGTGATGACATATATTTGTAAGAAAAATACTCCATATTCCTCACAACAATAAATGTACACTCAATAGAAGAAAAAGTATTTTAATATGTGGTAAAAATGTGCAAAGGGAAACTTAAACATAAAAATTAGCCAAAACCGTGTTTACTGTTTTGACTAATTTGGTTTGGCTGTCAAGAGGGCCAGACATACAAATTGATAAATGGGTTTACCATATGGATACACCATGGTAAGTACATGAGGTAAATTAAAATGTACAAACTATAAATTTATACTAATATAACCATAATTAAAATAATTATATTTTATTATTTTAGTTATACTCTAAAACAATAAAATATGTGTATTTTTAATTAAGGTTTTATTAGTATAAATTTATAGTTTTAACAATTTTTATCAGGGCAAACAAGTAAGAAGAAAAACGGGAAGACTAACCTTAATTGTAACATTCCCTTTGGTAATTTTCCGCATGTTGAAACCAACTGTCGGTATCATGTCTTCGCTGAATTGCCCCGACTGTAAAATAAATTAGGCCATTAAGCATGTACACCATTCATATATAGAATTCATCAAAACATTCCTCTGATGTATTGCAATAAACACCCTTAATTTGTGGAGACCGCATCAGGAGGCTATCAAAGAAAACACTTCATGTATGAACTTTGGTAAATAGCTAATTTTTTAATGAAACCATTATATAATATGTTTTGCATGCACCTTAAAAACTTATGAATACATGCACTATAACTTAACTACTACACTCATCACTCTTAGCCATAAAAGGCGAAGAAAAATGGCACAATTTTTCATAAAGGGACACTTTTCATCATTTATGGAAAATTAATGATATAGATTAATAATTTTATGTCTTAGAGTGGTATACTGCAAAAAATTAAAGGTGTTAAGACACAAGCATAAATTTTGCTATCTAAATAACTTCTCTTATCTTCATTGTACAAACGAACTCAAGTGCAACGCAAACAAATATAAATGCACAGCAGTAACATTTTAAATTGAAGGTTACAAAGTGTCCTAGACACCAATGTAACACATACTGAATTAATAATTCACACTAAGTTCTATTACAAAGCTTCTATTCTAAGCAATATTTCTTATACACAGATTTTAGTAGTACAAATAGCTTATGTATGAAGTGCATTGTTGAAAATGAAATTATATCCACCTGTGACAATCTCTAATTATAGTAATTAAATTGTGAGTGTAACACAAAAATTAAATTCCATATCAGTCATCTGAGAATCACTGTTTTTTTATTCTGACTTTAAAAACACAGTTCTTTCTATTATTACTGGTATCAAAAAAATTCAATATTGTGCTTTGTATAAGTTTTCAAATTGATTCAAGTGTTTTTTCGGTACAAATATTATCAATTACAAAATGATTACAAATGTGTATTTTTACTAAGTTACAAATAGTTTTTTTTTTTATTTTTCTGTATAATTTTAGACATTTCAATCTTCATTATAAAAAGAAAATAATTATGAAGTTTTAATATTAATATTCAGTTTTCTTTGCTTATTTTTTTATTGTGACTGATATTTGTGGAACTTTAATGAAAACAATTTTAAATGAAATAAGTTCTAAGGTGTTTAATTCATAGAATGTCAAATTTTAAGTGTCATGTGAGCAATAATAATGGGATTATTAAATCATTTAGATATGGGAAATGACCTTAAGGTGCCGAATAATAATGGGCGGAAATAGTTCATTCTATCCATCATTTTTTATTAAATGTGACAATTGCTGAAGTGATAGAGAAATAGATAATATGGCACTGACATTTTTGAAAACCTTTTTTATTTACTCAATTTTCTTATGGATGATAGGGCTGATCAAGGCCACAATCAAAGCTTAAAATTTAACTTTATTTGAAAGAAACATTTAGGTTTAATAATATGGTTAAATAAGTAGAAGATTTGAGATGTAGAGACATTGTTTCAAAATAATATTTACAAAGTATACTAAATAAATTGTAGACTACATTATGAGTCAATCATGAGTCATGTTCATAAATTAGAATATAAATGTTCTATGGATATGACATTCATTATCATATTTTTAGTTTTATTTTTTACATTACTTTTTTCAATATCAAGTAATCAATTGAAAGTAATCTTCATTTATTGTCTACATAAGATTGCTTATGCATTTAGTCATTGATTGTATGCACATGTTTTCATACTTATCTTATGAAGATCATGGACTTACTAGAGTGATAATAATGTATCAAATAACATTTGTCCGGTTTTAAACCGTTTTTTTTTTCAATGATATTATTAATGGCAACTATTTACTCAATGAATTCTAAATAAATAGCCAAAAAAAAAGATTTCAAGTGAGCCAAACAGACAAATTTCAGCTTATATTGATTTATTGATAATCACAATATAATTTATTCCAATAGTTTCATGAAATTAGGAATTTTATCAAATGTAATATAAATATAACAATCTAATTTGTGAGTGTGAAAAGGGGAATTTAAAATTGAAAATATAAATGCTCTTAAAGATGAATTATAAAAATAGTTGCAAGAGTTTGTCTATTTTAGCGAAGAGAGACAAATAAATAATGGGCGAAATTATTGAATGTCGGAAAGTTAAACTAAGTAAAGAAATTAGACAAAGGCGTAACTTTCAGAAAAAAAAGTAGAAACGAAGCGAGAAGTACAACAAATCATTGTTTTGTGGTAATACATACGGCTATGACGTTAACAAAAGTTGTTTTCCCGGAATATTGCAGCCCGACCAGAGTAAGCTCCATTTCCTCTTTCCAAAATAAGCTTTTAATCCAATCAAGGATACGATTGATCAAAGCTAACATTTTTAAAGACAAGCCGCAATATTATATCCAAAAAAAGTAACACTTTAAACGCCTATTCAGAAAATTGCTGGTAGATTTGACAATTCACTACGTACGTTTGGTTATGGTTGCTTTGACGTTCGTTTAAGTTTATTTTATGTATTACAGATTTCATAAAATTTAAATATTCGACGGATTAATAGTTTTTATTTAATAATAATTGAAATATTAATGTACAGTGAGATTATAAATTCATTCCAACCCTTTTTTATTATTTTATTTCAAATAGGACAAAATAATTTTGGAAAAACGAAACGTAGTTGCAAATGAATGCATATATTCAATGTTGCCATTTATTATTAGCTAAATAATTACTCAAACGTAATGAATTGTGCTCTTTTCTTAAATTTTTTAAGAATTAGAAGTAATTTTCTTTCTTTAGGATAATTTTAGTTATATTTTTTTTTCAAATCCATTATCATGTCATTTCAAGTAAGTTCGTTGTAGTTTCACATGGAACTTAGAAAGGCATATTGTTGTTGAAATCGAGTGACTCACGCCCGACTTTTGAAACACTGACGTTCGGTTTTTGAAACACTGACGCCCGGTTTCTGAAACACTGATCATAGTAGAAGTCAAAAGGATGGTTAAATTCTTTGAATTGATCATTTTGATCAATTCAGAGAGTTAAACATCCTTTTGGGAACTTAAAAAACATTTGAAAAGTCGTTTGACACCTGATTATTTAACTTCTACGATGATCAGTGTTTCAGAAACCGGGTGTGTTCATGGATAAACTCTTTGATAAATTGAACAAAAGCCATTTGACAGCTGATTAGTTAATTTCTGCGATGATCAGTTCCACGGAATCTTACGATCATATTTGTTTGACATCTCTAACCTGATCGATGTTTAATAGTACGGAGAATGATTTAGACCCTTGAGATGTTGCCCGAATGGGCACGTCGGTCCGGGTAAGTACCACGACCTCGCAGAAGACCGGCTTCACGCCGGTGTGTCTTCTACGTATCGGCTGGTGTGTGAGGTACCCGAGCCCACTCTTTTGAGACGTGGCTACGTATTTACAACCCTACGCGTCTTGCAATGTCCATGGGTAGGCCATGCAATGTCGCTTGTCGCAGCGTATACTTAAAAAATAAGATTCTTATATTAACAGATAAAAATACAAGGCTCTGGAATTTAAAAATTCGTTTTAATTTTGGGTCAGAAGCAGTCAGGTCTTCGTGGCAGTCAATCGGGGAGGCACATTGGCCTCTCCGCACTGACTGCACGAGTGTCAGCCTATCTGAGTCTTCTGCTGACAGCGGACTCAGATAGCCTGAAATGACGATGACGATGATTTTAATTTCGGGCAGTTCATAGTTACTTCATATTTAGCAAACTTATAAATATTATTCTCCATTAACTTGAGATTGATGTTCACTGATGAAGCGGAAAACGATCGTATTCGGTTTTAAAATGCATTAATATTTGTTAAGGACAAAACAGGACAAGAGCGATCATTGAAGAAGCTTTTATTTATTTGGTCCGAATAAATTACGACAACCCCTTTTAAAACAAAGAAAGGGTCCGCGCTAGCTTAATTTGGCATTGGTGAGACGTCAGTCGTACAAACTACCGTTCACCGTGACTAAAAAAAATTATCTCGTGCTATCTTTGTCATAAAGACATCCAACATAAACTAAATCTGTATCCATTTCGCGTTCAAGGATGCTGCATAGAGTTGGACGTTCATAAAGTTATAACAAGTCCATTTTTATTAACGAAAAACAAAACCGACTTCAAATATCTCGCTCTGTATTCATTTTATAATTGATTTTTAGGAGTTCCCTAACTATCTCCGGAGCCCAAGATCCAATACCAATGAAATTAATATGGGACCACATGGGAAGCACCAGTTTTAAAATAAAAAGGAATCATCAAAATCGGTTCACTCAGTCGAAAATTCTGAGATGAAAAAACATAAAAAAATACAGTCGTATTAAGAGCCTCCTCCTTTTTTGCAGTCGGTTAAAAAGAAATTTACCTTGATAAAATCCGTGAGGTCACAGGTCTGTACAGGAGACAGTTACGACATCAAGCATTTTTTTATGTGAAAAAGCGGCAAACGAGCTGGCGGTTCACCTGATGTTAAATAATAACCGAAGCCCAAGGACATTTGCAACACCCGTAGGGTTCCAAATGCGTTACCTTTAAATAAATTAGGCCCCGGCTACCTCACTCACCACACGAAACGCAGAAGTGTAACACTTCTACTTTACGCCGGTCTTCTATGAGGTCGCGGTACTTACCCGGACGGACCTGCCCATTCGTGCAACATTGTTGCGTGGCCGTAAAATTCTTGTTTCATACTTATTTCGGCGGAACATTACTGATTTTAGAGCGGGCTTCCAACTTTTTTTAGTAGGAACCGTGCGCAAGAACGCCACGTGAAATCGCGAAACGCGGCACGTGTTTTTTTCATGTGGACTGAACGCTGTGGATTGGATAACGTAATTTCTTGCAAGAATGACGTTATCCTCCCGACCCTAAATAGAATCAAACAGTTTGTGGGCTTTTATTGCTCGTACATGCGATAGGTAATGTTGTAAGAAATGAACTAACTTAAATATCTTCTTTATGATTGAATTTTTCACAGCTCCTGTGGTAATAAATAAGATAGCTCAGAGTCATTTCTAGTTTTCAAATATTTAATTGCAAAGTCTCATATTAAATGTGGTCGCTTGCTGCAAAGTAAACAAACTAGATAGCGCCAAGAATTGTTCATGGCCGTTTTTAATCAAATAAATCTTAATAATTTTTTTATCTTAACAAATTTAGTTTTAATCGATAGTTTAGATGTAGATGGGGAATATGCCTTTCTAGACTTGCAGACTATTTCTATTCCTGGTTACCTTTCAAGCAGATATGAACAGGTGTATAGTTAGCAAAATTAGAATAAAATTAATTTAAACAAAAATAGCCATGAACACACTCAATCGTGAAAAAAATTGGTGAGGCGTATGCCCAACGGTGGGCAAACACACGCTAAAGAAGAAGAAGACTACTCAATCTGCAAGTCGTAATTGGCGTGTTTATATATCAATAACATTTAAAAAAATATGTTTTATCTGGTTATCCCATGGGAGAAGGTCAAACTTCCAAGGGCTTTTAGACTATTAAAATGCATTAAAAAAACAAAGTGGTTAAATAGGTTCAGATTTACGTCGGCGTGAACATAATATGCCGTTTAGCTCATTAGCTAGAGCTTCAAATAGAGCGACAAAAATCTTTTCATCCAGTTTTCTAGAAATTTTACATTTCATATGTAATATGAATTAATTGAAATTAATAATTTATAAAATTGTTAATTTTAAGTGCTAACTTATCAATACACAGTGCTGTAGGAAATAGGGTTGATGATATTATAATAATATATATATATATATAATGCGGAACTTCCTCATTTTTTCACGAATCCTCTTCCTCATCCGTTTCCACAAAAAAAAAATTACAAAATCCTTCTCCTCTTCCTCTTATTAAGAGGAATTTTTAGTGGAAGTGACAATTAATCTGCCGGTTTATTATTATTAATTACAACAGCTTCTTAAAATAGTTTATGATTTGACGAAACATTTGTATTGTAGTCCTAATATACCTGTCACTTTTAATATTTTATTTTTGTTTGTATAATACCTATTTTTATTTTATTATTGCAATGTGCAGATGTGTTTTTGATTACAAATAAAGATTATTATTATTGTTATTAAAGTTTTTTTTGTTTGCTACATTTTGTGACTAGATAATATTTCATTTATAAGTTTTTTCTAATAGTTATTTTTAAGTTCAATGAAGCAATATTCTAAATAAGAATGGTTTTCATAAAAAAACGACTAAATGAATTTTGAAATTACGTAGGTAACCGCAGAATATCGAGAACCGACCTTCTTCCTCCACGGCCACTCCTGTGGCAGCGCGTGATGAAAACAGAATTATGAATTCTATGTTAGTTGATATACTTACTGAAGACAGTCTTTCATGGTGGAAAGTAAACCCAAAATATTTTGAAATTTAAGGAGTAGTACGTCAGTATTTTGTCAGCCCCTCCATGAAGTGTTCCCAGTGAACGCCTTTTTAGTAGTGCTGAGTTGGTTTACGATGAGCTACGAAATCTTTTATCTGGAGAAACAGCATCTAAATTATTATTTATTCAATTAAATTTACTAGAAATTAATTTTCAATGTTAGTATTTAATTATTTTTAGCACTACGGTGGTAGGGCCACGCAGCAGCCTCGGCTGTTGCACGAATGGGCAGGCCCGTCCGGGTAAGTACCACGACCTCACAGAAGACCGGCGTAAAGTGGAAGTATGACAAATACTTTCGCGTTTCGTCTGGTGAGTGAGGTAGCCGGAGCCCAATTTTCAAAAGGTTGTCAACGCATCTGTAACCCTCGAGTGTAGCAGATGTCCATGGGCGGCGGTATTCACTTAACATCAGGTGAACCGTCTGCTCGTTTGACAACTTTTCGCATAAAAAAAAAACTAATTTTAACAAAAAATAATAAATAAAAACTTATCCTATAAAAGTTATTTGTTCTTATCTTAAAAAAATACGAAGGTTTTATTTTAATTGTAAAAGCTTAATAATATATATTTTGCGCAAAAGGAATATTGCCATTATGTTGTTACTTATTTCTCATCCTCCTCCTCTTCCTCTTCCTCATAGCAGATCCTCATCCTCATCAACCCTAGTAAGAAAACAACGTAAGGAATCCTGCCTATTTTAGAAATATTAAAGAAAATAAATAATAATTCATAAATAAAAAAAAACATGATTTATTTGCAATTCGAACAGTAGAAAATAATTTTGTAATAAGAATAGTTAGTCCACCAGAGATAAAAGATAAGGATTGTTATATTGGTAAAACTGTTAATTTTTGGTAGAATACCACATGATATT